CTCTTTCTGCCTGGCTCCTGGGTTTGTAGGGACACTGTCTGCTCTGTGGTACAGAGTTCTGATGTGAGTATCAGTCATCTGGAGGCAGGCCTGAATTTTGCCTGAAACTCTCAGACTGAAGAAGTCTCTTGGAAGAGAGACGAAACGTTTCATTAAAGAAGAACCCGTCCAGAGGACCTATACAATTTTTTTTCCTTTGATTTTTTACCTGGATTACTGAGATGCATCAGGACATTCTCTAAAGTTAATTTTACAGATTCTACAAATTTTATAATTAATTTAATGAATTTTAGGATAAACATACTGATGAAGCTGTTGTGTCTATGGGTGTATTCACTTTATGTTTCAACATTAAGATGTTACAAGTTTAAGATTTGTCTCATTAAGCTTTATTTCAGCCTCCTGAGAAGATACTAATGGCAAAATAAAATTACCTAAATGCTGTCTGTATGCTTCTGGGGTATGTGTAAGAAAAGGAATGCCAAAATATTTTACGCTTGATTTTTATCACCGTTAAATATGAGTTTTTAAATGACATCAGCAGCTGCTCACTCCTCTCCTCTACTGAACCAAACACGATGTTTGAGGTGAACTGAGAACATCTGCGCGGCCTTCAGTTTCAAAAGTTCCAGATTTTCAAGGAAATCCTGAGCCTGAGTGAGAGGCGTCTCAAGATAAACAGCAACGCCGGCCCGGGATTTGAAAATATCTGTTGCGAGGTTATCGTGATGTCTAACTTTTCTTTCAGCTGTAATATATTCGTCACATGAAGATATCAGCTATTAAAAATTGCAGAGGAAGCACTGTTGCCGTGGAAAGAAGGGCACGTCTGACCTGATTTCCAGAGTGCTTCATACTTTCCATGAACTTGTGCTCCCGGAAAAAAATAAAAAAGTAATAAAATCCACATCGAGCAGTTTGTGATTTTCCTCATTTGTTGCGAACGAAGGGAAAATGTTTGTGAAGCGACGCTAGTAAAAAGTGTCAAATATCTTAGTTGGATTTGATTTGAAGAGAAGTGTGGTCTAGTGGGTAGAGTATAAAAACAGTGAGCCTCACCCCATCTCATCTGGCTGAAAGCCTTCCAGTTCGTCTCTTTGCTCATCCAGGGAGGACTCCAGATCCAGATAGGTTCCATTGTGAGAAAGCTGAAGTGCACAATCATCAAGCTGCAAACGGAAGCAAAAAAACTCACTTTAATACAAACATTTCATGAGGATTTATTAAATCTGCACTTATTTAAAGGGGACCTATTATGCAAAATTCACTTTTTAAAGTTTTTTTTTACTGAACTTTGGGTATGTACTTCTTAAAAAAACAGTCCTATGACCAAAACAAAAAATGCACCCAGGGGCATATTTACTGTAAGTAAATGTATTTATAATGTATATTAACGACAAGTTTTATACTTCCATCATTTTGTGATGTCGCAAGCCGTACGACAACCCACCAGAACCTGCGTTCAGCCCCTTACCTAGCAACCCCCGGGTGAGACTCCACCTCCTTAATATAAAAAGCCGTCACAGTGTTGTTGTGTAATGTGCAGCTTATTTCACAATAGGCCTCCAATACGGCAATGGGTAGAGTGTTGGACCAGAGAGTGGGAGGGTTCGAGACCGGCATGGACACAATTTAATTACTTATTTATTTTTGTTCGTTATGAACACGTTTTCTCATGTACCTCTATTGTTTAGCTTATTAAAACCTTGTTAAAGCCTATTTGTTCGATTTTCTGAGGTATTTTGACCGCTGCTGCTCCCTGCTCTGGTAACAGCATGCAGAGTGAGCGCAGAGCAGAGGAGGGAGAAAAAAAAGAAGAAGCTGTGACCACGACTCTGCCTCTGGGTCTCATATGGTTGTAGAACGGAGCTTCTGCTATTATTAGCCATGCTAAGGTAAACACTGGCTTTGGAGGGCGGAGTTAATGTCAACAGATTTTTGGAGGGCGTTACCAACAGAGCTCATTAACATAAACAGCTCTTCTGAACGGAAGTCAGAGCAGGCAGAACTAGAAAATGGGAAATTTTATTATCTGAGAATTATTTTGTGCATTAAATTGAATGAACATGGTCTGGATAGCCCACAGACATACCATAAAAATTTCTAGGACCCATAATTGGTCTCCTTTAAACCTTGACAGAAGTGTCCAGTCACACCCACATTAAGTGTCATTGTTAACCAACATTACAGGCGTGTAAAAAAGTGTTGACTATTGATGTCCAGACATAAAACTCACTCAGGACTTGGCTCACGCTTTCAAATGCCCACTTACAAGGTCTGCTCATGTTTCACACCCTTCCTTAAGACAATCTGACCCATTAAAATAAATCCAGTTTAAGGGTAAGGCGTTTGAACACAAGTGTGTACAGTGGTCTATTAAGAAGCACCAAAAAAAAAAAAAAAATTTTTTTTCTGTGGGGATCTGCTTTCAACATTACAGGGCTGTTAGAGGAATTAACCAGTAATAAAACTGCAGGACATGAAACTAAAACCAGAGTGGAAACACAGAATGAAGGACAGATTTGAGCGCAGCTGTGCAAAATATGACAATGTCGCCAAAACCGTGTACGACGTGAAGCCTGGGCACATGTGAGTGCAGACGGTTTGCACGTAGCAGATGGTGTTTTTATTTTTTTACATTTTTTTACTGTTTCTGAAGAACAGAGCAAACTGTGGCCGCTTGATCTGAGGTGACACTGCAACGCGGGCCGCACCAGAACTGAATTCAGTGTGCTGTGTAACGAGACACCCCGCTGAGTTTGAGACCAGGTGCGCCACAGTAAGCAATACATCTCTGCGGTTGCATTAACGTTCATGAAAGCAGTCACGAGTTGAGAGCAGGTGCGAGCGGACAAATTGGAGATGACTTGCAATGAAATAAACGACCCGTGGTCGCGTTGCGTCAGTCGATCAACAGCTCTGCAACAGAACCACTTCAGGGGAGTCAGCCACTGGCATTTAGCAGCTCAGTATTATTATTGGGATTAACAAAGCCCTGTAGGTGTGCTGCCAAATGCTCCCCTGCTAACTATCCATTCAAGTGACCTGACAGCACTTTGTGACCAGGACAAACCACAGATCACAAGACCTGTCGTTGCTCCCTGTCTGACCCTCCCTTTCAGTCGGAAACAGAGACGAACTGTCCGATGGGCTCACTGCATAAATATAACCTTGCTATATTTACTCTGCTCTGAGGCAGCATGGACACGGGGACTAAAAGGGAGGATGAGTGGGTGGAGGGAGACCTCAAGGCGAATGGGGCAGGAGGGCACGCTCATGGGCACAAAGTATTAGACAAATAAAATCAGTTTTTTGTCTTTGGCAGGTTTAGATTGTATCCGTCTTGACAGAAACTCCCCAATAATTTGATCCAACCAGAATTTAGAGGCTGTTTGAGAGGACTGAAGTAAACATTTCATCAGCAGACATCTGAAAATGTCCTTTTACATTTTTAGGAATGCTAACGCAGCCCTCAGTTAAAAGTGAGTTTGACACACTTAGAGGAAGTATAAGTGGCAACAGGGTAGGATCTTTGGTTGCTCGTTGTCCACTCTATACTCTGCTGCACAAGGGTGTACCTTGTCTTTTTGAAGCGGGTCACCTGCTGCCTAGATTGGATGCACCTACACGTGTCTAGTCCTGGTATCCTGCTTTAAGGGTCTTAAAAGAAAAATAAATTCTGCATTTGGGGTGTAAGGCTCACAGTCCAAACTCAAACTTCACAACTTACTCCCTAAAGCAGTGATCTGGTCTTAGATGGTCATATCAGTCTTTAAACACATTAAACTTGATGGTTTTGGGTCCTGCTCCAGTTTCCCCTGATTCCCTAATAACATTTATCCATCTGTGCCAAACAGCTAATCCACTTAGCAAAACCCACCAACTGTATCATTGTTGTGGTCGATGAAAACGCTGTAATTTTTCTCTTTTCTCAATAGTAGCAATAATAAAATAAAATGTAATGGTGATGGTGTCAGAATAAAAGCTGGCAGATGGAAAATGACTCCATTGATGGTTTCTGGATCATAAATATGCTGCTATGCTTCAACAAAAACCGATTTTAAATGAAAACCTCAATTTGTTTTACTAAAAATGTTATTTGATTGTAAACAGAAGGCACTTACACTATATAATTTCAGATGGCTCATTTTATTATGCATGTATTTTCCACAAAACATGTTAAAACACACTTTGTAAATTGTTTCTTTTTCATCCCAGTTAAAAAGATATTACCATTTCCTTTTAACAAAGGATTAAAGTCGTCGGCCCAGGGAAACACAAAGGTGTTTCTGTCGTCTCTCTTTGGTTAAACTGACCAATCAGTCAAACAGGAAAGAGACACAAAGATTCTTACTTTGAGGGGGAATCCACCTGCTGTAAAAACTCCATTGAAGGGGCCACTGTTTGCTCTTTTCATGTGTGTGAGATCTGGTAAAAGTCAGACTGAGGCGAAGCGAGTGGAGACAGTGGGTGGGGAGTTAATCACACCCTGTCCCACTGCCCTAGTTTAAATAAGACAAAAGCATTTTTGAGCTCAGTCTGTTAGCATGAAACAGTGCGTATTATAGCGTTTTTGTGCCACTTCCTTGATTTTTGTTGAACCCTGACAGAGCAGCATTCACTCTCTTCTGTTTTGGCCTCTTCAGCACCAGACTCCTTCGTGACACAATAAGTTGGGAGCTCACCGCAAATAAAAGGGTGTTTCTTTCCGAAAACTCTTCCTTTGGGTAACAAAACACACCGTGCTGCTCGAAAAGGCGGCTCAGAAAATAAGACAAACCACAGATCTTTTTTTTTTTCTTCTTCAGTTCTAGGATGGGCCCGGGGAACATTTAAAATGGCTTTATGCTCATTTAATCTAAATCTCCCCAAAAGGAAAAGACAAAAAAAAAAAAAGTAAAGTGGAAAAGAAAAGTAGAGCTGGGATGTAATTACTTCCATGTTAAAATAACACCCAGCCTGCCGATGAGCATGGTGAGTTGACAGTTATAGATGCCTTTACGTAATTCAGATGACAACTTTTCGAGAGCAAACCCTGAAAGTATTGGGTTCTTTAAAAAGCATTGAGAGGAGGAGGGATGGGGTGTTCCAAATAACCATTAAAACTCCCTCTGGGTTGCTTTATGGGGATCTCTTTGGTAATCAGTTAATAGCCAAGCTCTAAAGTTCAGGTTATATTGTTTTTTTTTTTTACAAGGATTGGAGTATTTCAGTGCAAATTTTGTTTTTCCAAGTGAATTAAACTGTGATGATACTGTTAGGAGAAGAAAGTGCTGATCTCTGTGTGACTCAAAAGGAAAAGATCTTAAGGACCAAAAAAAACGGCACATCCCCCAAAGCACCCTGATTTAGTTTTGGCAGGCGAGCCCATGTGTTTGTGTGTTTACACGGTCAGGGAGGTTGAAAAAGAGGTAGAGGAAGAGGTCAGGAAAACCGCGGCACCCGAAAGTGAGGACAACAAAGCGTCGTAACCATCCAGGCCACGGCCACAGGAATTCTGGGACAAGTGACCTATACTTTAGACGCAGCTCAGCCAGCAGTGCACAGAGCTCGACGCGTCGCAGCATAAAAACACGGCTATTTTTTTTGGTTTTTCTGCAAGAAAAATGCAGGAGGTTAAAGCATCATAAGAAAAAGTGTGAGAAACACCTTGAAAAAAAAAGCATGATCTAAAACTCTAAAACGACACCCAAATAAGAATCTCCAAAGCTTTGAACTGGACAATCCACAGTTTTTCCACTCCATCCCTATAATCTAAGCGCCACGACTCGCGCAGTCTTCCTCCTGATGGGAAAAAAATTGCAAACACGAATGCAGACTGCACCATCTGTCCGTGCATAGGTTGTAATCATGAGCTTTTCTGTGCTGCGGACCATTTTTCATTTGTTTTGTGGCTTTTAAAGATTGGGCAGTGGAATGGGTTTGGGGAAAAAAAGAAAAACACTCTGGTTTTACTGACAGAGCTGTCAGTACTTTTAATTTAACGGTAAAGTGTCTATGTCAGTACAAAGTATCAGGGAGACAACTTTGTTAGGAATACGCTGCTGCTTTTATCAGTAGTATTTTTAAGCCCTGAAACAGGGTTTAAAGGACCAATATTATGTGTTTCTCAGGCATACAGTGGTTTGCAAAAGTATTCATACCCCTTGAACTTTTCCATATTTTGTCACATTACAACCACAAACATAAATATATTTC